GTCACCCCATCTCCTTTAACTTAAAAACCACTGACACTACTTTGTCCATTTATTTTCTTGACTATATGCCTTTAAAGATTAATTTGTTCTGCTGATAAGAGCAGTCCCCTTAATCTACTTTAGAGTTTCAGACTATTGCTCTTAGGCTAATTTATTTTGTACCCAAATTCTAGCCCTTATTTGTATGCAGAACAACAGTTCCTTTGCTCTTACCGTATTCAACTTTACCAGCATTTAGTTCTTACTTCACTTACTAATAGTTTTCTCAAAATCCACACACTTGGAATTCAGACAACATAACATAAAATCCACGTAAATGATCCAACCAATGCAAATAACCCATGGAGTTAATTCAGCAAAATTATAATCTCCCATTTTATAATCACCACAAAACTAAAGTAATTTCATCAAGGATCCCATTACCAACGAGGGACAATAGTACTTCCTACAAGAACCCCAGTCTCATGTAAATGAAAAAAATCCATTTCCAAACTTTGAAATTTGGTTTTGGTAGTAACTCCCTTTGCTAAAAATTATAGCAATCCAAATGTCATGTGTTAAACTGCTCTTAACTCATATTCCCTCTTCTGTCTAGAGAAGTCTAAACACAAGAAGAGAATGTGGAGCTGTTTATAATATAGAGTTGATCAGCTCTTAAAACTCGATCATTCATTTTGAGTTTAATGAAAAAAGGAAAGGCCATAAAATCACACTCAAATCACTCAAAAATGCCAACCATTTTAAAGGCCCACTGCCCTTTAAAACCTGTACCCTCCTCCTCCTCCATCTCGCTTTAAAAGAAAAAAATCATTAATTGCTGGAAGAAAAGCATCCAAAGGCAAAATACGTGTGGCTCTTCCTATCATGGCATCTCTTTTTTCTTTCCTTATGTTACATCACAATTATTGTTGTCATCATCATAACTATTCTCATGGTCAAACTGCTTCTAAGAGTGTGTAGTAAAGAATTTAACCTTGCCCAGAAAGATGTCTGGTCTTTGCCCTCAGCTCCTGGGAGGCATGCTGCCCTTGGAATGTTCTGCCTGATGAGAGTGTCTTTGTTCATCTGGGGCTAGGGACATGAAAGACAGTCTAACAATGTGATGTAGGGTGGGGGCTTTGGGTCACATGGTACCAGCTCAATGTCCAGAGGGCCTGGTGACTTGAGGTCACTGTGGGCAGTCAACCATGACTATGTGACCAAGTCCCAATAAAAAATGTTTGGCTCAGATGAGCTTCCCTGGTTGGCAATACTCTCTACACTGCCACACCGCATAGCTGAGAGTCAACACTGTCTGTGACTCCCCTGGGAGAGGATGGCTAGAGGCTCTGCACTTGGAACTTTCCTGGACTCTGTCCCATGCATCTCTTCCCCTGGCTGACTTTCATCTGTAGCCTTTCACTGTGATATAACTGCGAGTGTGACAACTTTCAGTGAATTCTGTGGGTCCTTCTAGCAAAACAGCAAACATGAGTATGGCCTTGCACTTGCAATTGCTGTCAGAAGTGAGAATGGTGTTGGGGATGGTTTCCTAACTCGGCAGAGGATGTGGAATGAAGAAGGAAATAAATGCAGAGTTTTGCTCCATGACTCCATGTCTTTGGCAAGCTCACCTACTAGTAATGTTTCTGGCTTGATTTTCCTCAATGAAGATCATCTTAATCAGGTTTATAAATATTCCAGAGTGGAGCGTGTGCTCACCCAGTAAGCATTCAGAGAAAGGAGGTAAGAAGTAGACAGAGCACAGGATGTCAACTCAAATGTGGGGTCCAAACACCAGCTCCAGCATGGCCCAGCTCTTTTTCCTGGGCCGAGGAGGCCTGGTGTATAAAGAGCCCTATTCTCAGTGTGTGAGCAACTGACATACTGGGACCAAATTTTTTTGGCTACTAGGTAAGGTTACTCATGTTTCTGGTGAATAAGTCCCACCCCTTTATTCCTTACCCCCTAATTACCGTACACTGAAACATAAGGCTCTCATAGCCGAGGGCTACAACCACTAGAATGTCCTTTTCATCTGATTACAGTCTTTCTTTGGAAGCTCCCAGTTCTCTCACTGGTCAGAAACATTGTTCTGAAGGTGGCAGCTTTCAAAGGTTGTATTTCAACTTAATCTAGCATTCAAGCTCTATTCCTCACCGCAGCCCAAAACTGCAGTATTTTTTAAGGAAACCCCATAAGAAGCCACATGGAAAGGTTCCCCTGAGTGTAGACACTCACACCCGTTAGAGTGGAGTGAAGTGCCCCCTTCCTCAGTTTCTCTAGCAAGTACAGATTCCCATAAAATCATATCCTATTAAGCACGTTGGTTCCTAACTTAGAGAATCATGGGATAAGCTGACACCCTGGCATTTCTGTCCTGTTATTCCTTCTTTAATATTCTTTCAGCATTTAAATTCTCTACATGCTCACTGTGGCCTTATACAAGATTGTTTTTAAAAGGAACATACAGATTCGCTGCTTTATCTGAGTTCCTAGATTAGTTACAGACACATAGATGTTTGATAAACATTTGTTGAGCAAATGAATAAAGAAAATATAGCAAAATGCCAACCCGCGTCTCCTCCCATCACCCACACAGCTTCTCTGTGTTGTAAATATCCAGTTTATAGTTTCTCTCCCCTACAATCGGCTCAGTGAACAGGGACTGTGAGTACTTCCAGGGACACAGAGACTCAAGAATATTTCAAACAACAGGTTAAAATGCTACATGGGTAAGAGCTGATGTGATCAAAATGAGTTGACAATGGCCACCACAAAAGCATGTCAGAAAGTGAGACCAAGGCAAAAGCTGAGGATTCTGCCTTCTGGCTGCCAACACAGAAAGAACCACAAAGCAGGCCTGCTCCTGTCTACTTCTATTTACAACCACGAGCAGAAATTCCTTTCCTGCGTCTTCATGTGGACGTGCCGTTTCCGCGACCCGGCAGGTTCCTGAGGCCCAGAGATGCTTCCCACCACCTCCTCTTGGACTTAGTCATCTGCATGAACCCCTGATCACATCCACTTACAGGCTTTGATTGCCAAAATGATAGGAAATAGCACAACCTCTGTTTCACAGAAATGAAATAAATGCACAGGAAAAAAAAATCGGATGTTTATCTGAGAGAATGGCACAGCCACCTTCAACTATAAGAAGAGATTTCTAAAAGCCCGTGGATTGGACTGGCAACTACCTTAACAGATGCTAACACAGGTGCCCTCAAGCCCATATTAAATGTATTTTCTGTCACATCCCAATGCAATGGAGGCGCGCCTACGTGATCTTAAGATCTGAAAATCATGCACAGTTAGACTGAGAAATAGAAAAGCAAGCTCCTCCTAGTACCCCCACCCCTGATTGCTACAATGTCTGCTATGCCGTTATCTACGGATCCTCCAAATCCAAGTAATAACCAAACAAAAATACTCCTTTTCTTCTTGCATTACATAAAGACATTCTTTTTCTACATTTCAATCAGCTCTATGTTAATACCTTTCCAGGGAAAAAAAATGGATGTCCAAACCTGGCGGGGAGGGGAACAAATCCTATATAATAAAAGCCTAGGTGGCATCACACCCTCATGCAATGGCCACCACAAGATGGCTGCACGCACAGTGCAAGCTCCAAGTGGTGAGGCCTGGGGGTCCCACTGCCCTGCGCAGCGTGGAGGAGGCTGGTCACAGCAGGGGAGGGCACTTGGGGGCAATCAGGCCGGTAGGGGAGAGCAGTTGGGAGCGATCAGGCTGGCAGGGGAGGGCAGTTGTGGGTGATCAGGCTGGTAGGGGAGGGCAGTTGGGGGCGATCAGGCCTGTAGGGGAGAGCAGTTGGGAGCGATCAGGCTGGCAGGGGAGGGCAGTTGTGGGCGATCAGGCAAGCGAGCAGTTAGGAGCCAGAGATCCCGGATTGTGAGATGGATGTCCGACTGTTGGTTTCCCTCAGCAGTCGGACATCCCCCGAGGGATTCCAGGTTGGAGAGGGTGCAGGCCAGGCTGAGGGACACCCCCTGCCCATGCACAAATTTCATGCACTGGGCCTCTAGTTGATTTAATAAAAGACACTGCTATTTTTTTTTCTTTAGAAGGTTAATCTTATATCTATCAAAAGTATGACTATGTATTACATTGATTAAAAAATATTTTTAATAACTAAAATTAAAAATCTCTGTGACCACAAGATAGAATCAATATAAAGAAGAACTAGAGACTGTAAGAATAAAGCTCAAGGTAGTAACTGGCCATAAACCAAATGATCATAAAATACCCAGTCATTTAAATCTTACACATTCTTTTTTTTTTTTCCTTTTTTTTCTTTTTTCTTTTTTTATTAAATCTTACACATTCTTATAAAAGCATGCTTTCCCCTCACTTTGTAATTATGTCACTTCAAAAAGCGGAAGTCCTACCACCAAATGGACTCCCAAGCATCTGATAAACCTTCCTATTTCTCTGATTTATCACAGAGATACAGTAAAAGTACTTCTTTCACCAATATTTTCTTAACTGATCAAATCCTCCATTCCCAAATTGTTCTTTTGGTCTTTAGTGTATACATTAAATGCTTCGGTCTAACCAAACTAATACCCATTGTTTTCCACAGTAGTACTTATACACTTGGTAAGTATCCAAACTAAACATAAAATTGCTCCTTCCAAAAGAGGCAACTGTTCAATTTTGAACAACAGAATTGGCTGTAAGCTTTTTAAAAAATACACACCTAGACACCAATAGAATGCATTCTCCAGTTACAACCTAAAACCTCCACTAAAATGATTCCAAAACCTCTTACAATTACCTTTGAAGTTTGGCTTTTATATAAAAGCAAGCAACGCATGAAAATCAATTCATTTTAAGTCTTCCTAAACCAGGCATGTTCAGGCTTACAAATAATTATGGGTAATAATTGCTACTTAGTATATATGTAATCAAACCCACTTATTGTGGTTTGGCTTTAAAAATAGACTAATTGATTTAATAAAAACCAATTCAAACATGGCATTTAGGAAACATTATTTGCTTACCTCTGTTGGTTTGTGGCAGTCTACGAGAGCTTCCTGGAATAAAATACACAGAAGGTAAGTTTTATTATTTTACAAATCAGTATCATTTTAAAGGTGAAATTAAAAATTATTTTTTCTTTATAGTATTATTCTAAACATGGTGAATCAACATTTCACATTGACTATCTAGAATCACACTTTATTTCAATACCCACTGACCACCTAGAGATATAAGGAGTTGTGCAGGGCCAGGGTGGTTTGGTGGTTGAGCTTTGACCCAGGAACCAAGAGGTCACGGGTTTGATTCTTGGTCAGAGCACATGCCAGGATTGCGGGCTCGGTCCCCAGTAGGGGGTGGGCAGGAGGCAGCCAATCGATAGTTTCTCTCGTTGATGGTTCTATATCTCCCTTCCTCTTCTAAAAATCAATTTAAACTTATTTTTTAAAAGATATAAAGAGTTGTGTCCTTCATATGCAGGAATGCCTTACATTTTCCAGAGCACATGCATGCACAGGCATACACACACACCTTTCCTTTGGGCTGCCAACTTGGTTAATAATGAACGGGATATACTTAAATTGAGACAGCCTATGAAAGATGGTGACAATCACACTGGAAAGTCAGGGGCCTGGGTCACACCTCTGCAGGCTTCAGTGTCCTCACCTGGGAATCAAAGGGGATGACCTGACGGTAGCTACACCCCTTTCAAGTTCTCAATGTTAGGAAAACTTGATGTCATTCCATGCTGTATAAAACTGATGCCCGCTTTCCTTTTTTTAACTTTCATCTCCCACTTAAATTTACCAACAAGATATAATCATTAAACCAAGACTTGTTCGCCACTCAAGGGATGCTAGTAATTATTAACACATTCATGTATTAAAATGTGCCCTTTAATCGCCTTTAGCGATCATTTGCCCCTGGTAATAACCAACCACCATTAACAGTAATTATCTGTGAACATTCAAAACATTGGCAAGTCAAAGGTTGACTGGTTTTAGAAACTCCCAAATATAGATTTTTAAATGATAGATCTGACCTCTTCTAGGAAGGGAAATAAATATTGTATTACTGTGGGCCAAGGAAACATGAGACATCTCAGCATGTACCAGGATGCTATCAGGTGAGCATACTCCAGTAAAAGAAACTTTATTAAACAGAATTATGTTGTACATAATCTTATGAAGAAATGAATGTCATGAATGATATAATCCACAACTGCAAGACCGGAGTTCCTGAGTTTAGACACCCAGTTCCAGTTCAGCCCTTCTCCCTCTCATACAATTGTTGGGCATCTCTTCCTTCTCTGGCAAATGGATCTCAAGAGGAAGAGCCAGCTTTCCCTCCCAAAAGAAAAGGCTGGAAAAACTCACATCCATAAGGTACTTCGAGAACTGACTGTTGTCAAGAACTGCTTTACTGTCAGAGAATCAGAGGTGAGCTTCATGAGGGTGAATACTTAGCATCCCATCCCTTTCCCCTCTGCAAGTTCAGGAACCCTGAGTGGATTCAAGCACCTACAATGGGAAGGTTCTAGATTTTGAAAGCTGCTTACCCGTAATTTTAAAGCTCTCTCTTCTTCACTGTCTGCATCAAGAAGATCATCAATGTCAATTTCTACATCTGGCATTTCTTCTTCCTGGAGGACAAATGAGAAGGCATTCTATTTAGTGAGAAACTACATCGTGCTGAACCAACTTAGTTGAGTTAAATAAATGACTAGATCACCAGTTGACAATAAAGGGGAAGAAGAGACTAGGAGGAAGAGGAGGGAAAGGAGGGGAAGGAAGGGGAAATGGGAGAGGGGAAAAGGGGGGAAAGGAAAAAAAGAAAAAGTAGGGAGAAGGAGGGAGAAAAATGAGGAGGGAGGGAGGAGAGGGAAGAGAAGAGGGGGAACAAAGGAAGTTTAAGAGTCACAAAGCAGTAAAAAGTAAATTTTCAAAAATAACAAATTTCTGCTTTTGGGCAGAAAACTGCAATGATAAGTACACAAGAAGGATTGGTAAATTATAGAAAGAGTAGTGAGAGTTGGGGTTTCCTACCCAACAGCTACCCTTCTCTTACCCTTCTCAAAAAACGCTGTCATTTTGCATTTCACATTCCCATTAGAATCAATATCTTTGATTCTTTTGGGGGGGTTGAATAACTTCTTTTATGATTCTTGGTCTGAGGAAAACCTGATTTTGTCACAGGTTTCTGAGGTGGGGCCCTTGGATGAGCCTCGCCTGAGCCCAGCCCCAGTTCCTGACTCAAGAGAGGGCTCGGACCCAACTGAGGCCAGTGAGGACCTCTGGGAATAGAAGCTCTTCCAACAGACGCACCCTCCGCTCTCCCTCCGATCTGACGGTGGGCTGGGGCAGCTCTGAGCCTGAACATTGCCAGCAGTTATCATGGAACCCGAAAGGAGTGGGGCTGGCTCCCCAAAGGGGCAGGGGCAGAGAAATAGGGAAAGGGGGTTCTGGAGAATGTCACTCAGTCACCGAGTCAAACCTCCTCTAAAACCGGCACATTCACAAGTAAATTCCTGTTATCATTTCAGTCAGAGTGACTGGAGTTTAATATTCCCAAAAATAACGTCCAATCCAGAAAGGAGGGCAAGAATGTACGGCTGGAATGTGTGAAAGGCCTCACGACTTGGAACCAGTACTTCCGATCCAAAGTAAGTCTTTGCTGCTTCTCATTTCTCCTGCTACCTGATCTCCCCCCATACCTCTGAGGGTGCTGAAATCAAATCACATCTAAGAAGCGCTGTCATTTTGCATTGCACCTTCCCATTAGGAGTCACCTGCACTCCAACCCCTCCAGCCACAGGGATGGGTGAGAAACGATTGAGAAACCTGTGTGTTTGGGGGCGGGGTGGGGGGGACAGCGGGGGGGGGGGGGGGGAAGACACCTGTGCATCCACCTGGCTTAGCCACTCTGTGTCAGCTGTATCATCTGGTCTTCAGGGCAAGGCTGACTTCCTGAGTCTTTCCTTTCTAAGAACATTTTCCCCTGTTCCAACACAAAAGCAGACCCAAGTGTTTTGAGGACACTGAGGACTCTGATACACTGCTGTGAAACCATAGGGGCTGCTGCCCTGACCTGGAATGCACGGGGCCCACTTGCATCCAGTCCCTCTGTCTCTCTGAGTGGAGCCCTCCTGGGGCAGAGCAGAGAGGTGGGTACAGATGTGGCCTCGTTATGAACAGAGGATGCTGGGAGGACCCCAAGGCTCCACTCCATTGTCAGGACACCAGGAAAGACCACCCTGGACATGTGTGCAGCTCCCCCTCCCTGGGTACCGGTCTCCTTGCCCAGCCCTAACCTTCCCCTCCATGACCTGCCTGTGCCTGCCCGACTTCCTCTTTCTTTTTTTTTTCTATTTTTTTCTTTTTCTTTTTCTTTTTCCCTTTTCCGACTTCCTCCTTTTGTGTCTACGTGAAACCCTGCCGAAAGGAAGACTCACTGAGGGAGAATTTAAGATGACAGTGGTGGAGCTGTCAAGGGTGCCAGACTTCTCAGAGTGAAAGGACTGGTGGGACCTGAGACACCATCCAAGAAATGCCCACGATCACAACACCACCGGCAGCCCTGGAACTCGGAGTGACGCTGAGAAGGCACAGCCTCGGGGCCTCCCGGCCACGGCCTATCTCGGTCGCAGTCTATTTCCTCTCCCCTCCCCTCCCCTCCCCAAATCAGTCATTTGGGTGCAGCATTTATATTTGGTTGGAGCAGCAGGTATATATCTATGTGATGGTTCATGAAATCAAGCAGAGGAAGCCGGTGTAGGACCTGCTCCAGGAGTCACAGGTCCAGGGCCTCTGTGTCTGCTCTTCTTAAAGGAGACCCTAAGTAAATACTGGCTTGCCCAGAACGCCGCAGAAGGGTTTTCCTGCAGCTGTTATTCAGCTTTGATGCTCCGCCCAATTTGGTCAAAAGGGCTTTTACTTGTGTTGCAAGACGGCAAGCTCCAGGCCCGCCCACGTAGGAGGCAATTAGGTGTCCTCCGCCCAGCTCTCCCTCAGGCCCCGCATGACCCACTTTCCCCAGTCCTCCAGATCCAGGCCGCCCAACATGGCAGCCACAGGTGGTGTTTAAATTGAAATTCACTGAAATGAAATCAACAAAGAATTCAGCTCCTCAGTCCATGAGCCATAAATTTCAGTGCTCAATTACCGCCTGTGGTGAGTGACTACTGCCCTGGACGGTCCCCATAGAGCAGTGGGTCCCAACCTTCTGGCCCTTTAAATACAGTTCCTCATGTTGTGGTGACCCCCAACCATAAAATTATTTTCGTGGCTACTTCATCACTGTAATGTTGCTACTGTTATGAATCGTCATGTAAATATCTGATATGCAGGAAGGTCTTAGGCGACCCCTGTGAAAGGGTCGTTAGGCCACCAAAGGGGTCATGACCCACAGGTTGAGAACCGCTGCCTATAGAGGCTCTCATTCCTCAGGACAGCACTGCCCTGGAGCACACCCACCCTGGACTAGAGATGGGAAGCAAAGCTCCCTTCCTTCTCAGAGACCCTCGACAGGAGTAAAGAAAATGCATCGCGAGGCCACCGCCATTACTCAAGGCAGGTGGCTGGGAAACCCTGGGCGTGGCCATCCCGGTGGGAAAGCTGATGCAAACAAGTCCCTGAGTCATTACAAGAATCATGAGGCAACGGCACTGGCTACCAACCTATGTTGCTACCCACCCTCATCCATCAGAGGGTAGGAGGGGCCTGAGCCCAGGTGCGTTCCCACCGTCCATGATGCCAAACCAAAGCCTGGGTGAGAAGGACATGGAGACACGGGCCACAGAGGCACATGTGGGAGAGGCCTGGGAAGCAAAGGCTGATCTAGTATCGGGTATAGAACCCTGTGTCTATTTGGCATTTAATATTTTCAATGAGGAGTGTGGAAATAGTCTATATTCCATTGACGTTTTCTGTGTCTCTACCTTCTGTATAAAGCAGTATCACTGAATGTAACCTTAGTGACACTGCTTACTCTGGTGTCCCAGAGTTCACTGGGATTTGGGGGTTTCCCCACATTAAACACAGATCAAACAATCTCTTCAGAATCGCTGAGGTAAGCCACCAGCTGACAACATGTAGTCACATGCCCTCCTGTAGGGACGCACGGAACAAGGCACCTGATTATTTGGCGCATCTTTCCTGCTGGGAACCTGCTGCGTACTAGGCACCATGTGTCAGCCGCTGTAAGGCTCTGTCTTGGACAGACACGCCGTCTAAGCTCAGGACAAAACAATGGACAATGGCACCAAAAGAGAGAGACAGCCCAAGTGCCCTGGCAATTAAGGAGAGGGAAATTTCCACCTGGGCCGGTAGGGAGGTTTCACAGAGGAGAGAGCATGTCAGCTGGCCTTGTGGAATAGCAGGATTTGGACAGGTTTAAAGGGGGAGGGGGAGCACCCACAAGAGGCAACAAGGTACAAAGGAGGCAAGAATGCAAGGTGTGTTCTAAATACAGAGTGCAGAAAGGCCCTTTTCTTGAGTCGGATAGCAGATATTAAAAGAGGCTACACAGGAAACAGAGATGAGAGCTGAGGCAGATAGGGGCTCTATAAGGAGTAGTGGGGAGTGTGGCAAACTGAGGAAAACGAGTCCCAGGAGAAGACAGCAAAAAGAACACTCCATTCCTGCCTATTGCACTCAGGGCTGTGAGATCCTCCAAGTTTTCAGGAAAAGTTGGAAATACAGATCTTTATTGTAAAAATATCTTGATTTCTTTTAAGTTGGTTAATAATTCCTTAAAATGTTGTGAAAGACAAACAAAGTCCGTCAGCCTGACAGTTTCCCCTCATCCTGTAAGACCAGAGCCACTGAGGGCTCCAGAGCGAGGGTGGGAAATGCCAGGAGGGCAGCTGGCCAGCGGCAGGGCCCGGGTGAAGGGAGGAGGTGAGCAGGCCGCTGAGAGGCACTTCTCTTATCGCTCATCACCCGCCTCGCCTCGGGGAGAGTAACAGCTAGAATGCAGGTTGTGGCGAGAATTAAGATTTCAAACACTGATAAGCAGGGAGGGCAAAGCAGGTGGAATCTGGAGGTGACCTGGATGGTGGGCGAGGGAGAAGGACAAAGTAGAGAAGATCCCAGTTTTGAGCTGAGAGGTTTTGGAGAAGACGCCATCATAGGACCACACTGGGACCTTGAGGACATTTCACAAACCAATGAGCAGTTCTGAGTTAAGCCATTTCCAGTGCCCGCCCCATGACCGATGAGCGAAGTGCCTCTCAGCAGCCTCCTCCCCTCCTCCCTTCGCCCAGGCCCTGCAGCTGGGCCAGCTGCCCAACTGGCACACCCAGGGGCACGCTGCCATGCTGAGTGACAGAGGCACAGCCCTGCTGGCAGAACCCTCGGCCTGCAGCCAGGCCTGCAACAGCCAGGAGCTCCCCACGGGCTCAGGCGCTAGGCTGCAGCAATGCAACTGAAGCAGGTCCCCGAAACAGTCAGCCTGGGTGACAGCACATGCCACATACCACACACACACTCACATGCACATACACACATTTACATGCACACAGCACACACACATTCATATGCACACACCACACACACACTCACACACACACATACACATTCACATACCGCACACACACATTCACATGCACATACCACATACACACATTCACATGCACACCACCAC